TTTGAGAAGTTAAAAAAAAAAAAAATCAAGAGCGCCTGAACAGCACCGGACTAAGGACATCTGCATCTATTTTCTGCCCTCCTTCTTGGATAGTTTAAAAGATCCTCCCCGCCCTCAACTTCAGAGTTTATTAAGAGCTGGGGATGCGGGCTCCCCCAATTATATCACCCTTTCACAAGGACAAAGGAGAGTGTAAACAGTAACATGACTGGTCTGAGCAATGTACTCTGAGAGGCACATGCACTAAAAACACTCCAAACGTTTACCATTTACGTGTACCATCTCTTCAGTCCTTTAAATTCCTAAAGCATTTCTCAAGGTCTACTATGCTTCGTTCAGCATGTGCTGAAACACCTTAACATCAAGTTTGCCTTTTATTTATGCTGAAAAAAAAAAAAACACCAGCAGAGGTGACGAGGGGATTAGGAATTGTGCGGACGAGGCACACTGCTGTAGATATTTTATGTTTTAGGAAAATAGCAACCCAATTTTTTTTTTTTTAATTACCCATTGTAAGAGTAGGTAAAACATCTATCAGAAGAAGGGATTTATATTATCTGGGTTCTGTTGCAGCAAACAAGTACCGCAGCTTTCATTCACCGATTGTCAAAAACTTTCCAATGTGCCCACTGCAATGCGGATGCCAACCAACGAATCAAAGGCATTCAGCAACTAGACAAAGAGGGTCTGATGCCAACCTCGGTGCCACTGGCAACCATTATTGGCATCAAGCACATTGTCTGCCTTTTTTTTTTTCCCCTCTCCTGGCACTCGACAAACAAAATGGCGGTTCTTGTAGCAACGGGAACGCAGCGTAAGCGCTGCACTGAATCAAATGCCATCAAATGATTTTACGGACCGAGATGCGTTTCACACCTAAACGACAGATACTCTCTGATGCCTGACAGAAAAAGTGAAATAAAACAAAATAAGAGCAGTTCTGTCCGTAGAAACAACATGCATGATACTTTCAAGGGTTGGGCTTTTCAAAAACTCGGGGGGGGGGGGAGGG